CTTATTTGCACAGCAGGCCTTAGTCCACCAGGTATAACCAGGATGTAGACACCACATTTTCCTCGTGTGAGGTAGCTTCCAACACCCTGGTAACTGATGCACAAAGCATGCTTCCTCGTCTTGACCTGTCAAAAGGGCGCTAGCTGTAAAGCCAGATTCCTAATATATGACAGGTATATCAGAGAAAACACTGTACATGGAACAATGAAGACCTGGCTTAATTACCTTTAGTATGAGGCTATCTCGTGCTCTAACTGGGTCACCCTATATCCACTGACATTAATGGCCATAAATGAAAGATAAATGGGTTTCGGAAGAACACTTAACTTGAATTTGTTGACAGCGTGTTGAAGATGGTACACCTTTGGTTTCCATAACACTACGTCCAAGTAAAATTAACAGGAGCCGTATTTGCTCCCGTGAGCCTCTGGTCTAATTTAAACAATGGCTGCCCCTCCTTCCTCACTCCTGACGCCTGGCTTACATTGTCCAGATGACAGAAAGTGATAGAAGGGTCACATTTACTGTACTTCAATATTGATAATTAAGTTAATTTATATGAGATGTTTTTATGATGGTAATGTCCAAAGACTAATGTATTTAAGAATAATTCCCAGCAGAATAGCTGGTGAATTTATAATAGTATGTGGTGATGATCTCCCGTTTTCTATAGACGGTAATTCCACTACAAGTTACGTTTTCTATGGGTTAACTTGTTTATACAATACAGCAGCAATTATCTGTCTGTATGATATATTAAATGGTGTCGGATTTTCCGACAGCTCCAGTGTGTGAGGCTCCAGTGTGTGTATGGATCCAGTGTGTGTGAGGCTGCAGTGTTTGAGGCTCTAGTGTGTGTGAGGCTCTAGTGTGTGTGAGGCTCCAGTGTGTACGAGGCTCCAGTGCTTGAAGCTCCAGTGTGTGAGGATCCAGTGTGTGACGCTCTAGTGTGTGACGCTTCAGTGTGTGAGGCTCGAGTGTGTGTGAGGCTCCAGTTTGTACGAGGCTCCAGTGTGTAAGGCTCCGGTGTGTGTGAGGCTGCAGTGTGTGAGGCTCCAGTGTGTAAGGCTCCGGTGTGTGTGAGGCTCCAGTGTGTGAGGCTCCAGTGTGTGAGGCTCCAGTTTGTACGAGGCTCCAGTGTGTAAGGCTCCAGTGTGTGTGAGGCTCCAGTGCGTGAGGCTCCAGTGTGTGAGGCTCCAGTGTGTGTGTGAGGCTCCAGTGTGTTAGGCTCCAGTGTGTGTGAGGCTCCAGTGCTTGAGGCTCCAGTGTGTGAGGCTCCAGTGTGTGAGGCTCCAGTTTGTACGAGGCTCCAGTGTGTAAGGCTCCAGTGTGTGAGGCTCCAGTGTGTGAGGCTCCAGTGTGTGAGGCTCCAGTGTGTGAGGCTCCAGTGTGTGTGTGAGGCTCCAGTATGTGAGGCTCCAGTTTGTACGAGGCTCCAGTGTGTAAGGCTCTGGTGTGTGTGAGGCTGCAGTGTGTGAGGCTCCAGTTTGTACGAGGCTCCAGTGTGTAAGGCTCCGGTGTGTGTGAGGCTCCAGTGTGTGAGGCTCCAGTGTGTGAGGCTCCAGTGTGTGAGGCTCCAGTTTGTACGAGGCTCCAGTGTGTAAGGCTCCTGTGTGTGAGGCTCCAGTGTGTGAGGCTCCAGTGTGTGAGGCTCCAGTGTGTCAGATGCTCGTCAAGCAGGAGACCAGTAGCGACCATTATTTATGAGGCGTTATATGCGTGTGTCAAACACCTTCCCTGGTGACTCATGGACCCTTAAAACTCCATCGACTCAATTCTTGGCCGCGTTGCCTTTGTTTTGTGGAGGTAAATGACGAGTCTTATACAGAATTATCGTGGTGTTTTGTTACACGGAATTATGTATGTTTTAAAGTATTTTTACTTGGTACTTTTATTCATCAATGGTAAATGATGCTCTTGTCGCATAGCTTGATTCTGAAATTAGTGTGAAACTCTTAGCGTATATTACTCGTTTTAAAATCTATAGGAAAGTATTTTTTGGAAGATGTTGTTCACGGTATCATGTGAGACTGATCTAACAAGTGAATTCGACTATCACGTACATGATATAAATGCCTATTGGGGCTTTATTACCTCGCCCTGGTCGTCTCGGAGTGTGTGGACCTTGTAGCACTGATCAAGACGTTGCCTGACACAGTGGGTCTCTGTAACTTGCCCTTTGACCCTATTGTGACATGAAAGTGCCACAAATATTGACACTTTCTGGGACTAATGGGCATTGGCTTCGAGAGGTTAGTTGAGATGACTAGAATCAAGTGCTTCTGGTTAGGCAAAATTATGTACTAATTTGATGCATGGTGAATGATTAAGGGTTGTGAGACCCGTTACTGCTCACACCTCTGGGTTGATTACTTACAGGTCTGAATAACTACTACTCACACCTCTGGGTTGATTACTCCGAGTAATTTTCCTGCCCGGGACGAAACGTCTATACGTCACTAATCAACAATAATCGTCGTTGGGCATTTAACCAAATTTTACGAATTTGTATCATGTCGAGTTAAATACAATGAAATGTTCATTATCGAGGAAGCATTTACACTGCTTGCTTGTGCAGTGTGAATAATTTAATAACCATGCATTTAATTTAATTTAATTATAAATTATTTTTGTTGTAACGTTTTAATTATTTATACCTTCAGAATTTTATGCTGTATAATCCTAAAATATGAAAACAGTTTGCTTAAATAAAAACAAATTTCATATGCATTAGTTGTGTCAGAGTTCCATGGTAGGCAAATGGCTGCAATCGGGACGGCTTTGCTGATATGGATCAATTGTTATCAAACTATTTCCGTAGCACACAGCGAAATCCCAGTAATGTGATTTGTTTGCAAGAAAACCTGTGGTGCAGGACAACGGGATCGAAACTGCGTCCTACGTCACCCCAGACGATATTTGTCCATAACATGGTCGCTGGGTTAAGGCACACGTCTGGGGGTAACCAGGAAGCTCCTTAGAACCCACCGCTCAACTCTAAAGATCTCCACCTCTTTCCTGATATGGTATCAATCATTACGACCACGTAATAATGACGGAAAGTTTACTGAAGGCTCTCTCCTGAGTGTTGACCAGATGCTTGCCTGTGAAACTGGGATGAATTCTGCATAAACATGATGATTTAGATACTGAAGAATCAGCATCTCTTTATGTCACCTGATAGAACCACTCCTGGTAATGTTGTGAGGGCCTCAGGCAATGTTGTGAGGGCCTCACACAATATGTGAGGGCCTCAGACAGTGTTGTGAGGTCCCCAGACAGTGTTGTGAGGGCGTCAGACAATGTTGTGAGGGTCTCAGTGTTATAAGGGCCTCAGACAGTGTTCTGAGGGCCGCAGACAGTGTTGTGATGGCTTCAGACAATATGTGAGGACTTCAGACAGTGTAGTGAGGGGCCTCAGACAGTGTTGTGAGGGCCTCAGACAATATGTGAGGGCCACTGACAGTGTTGTGAGGGCCTCAGACAGTGTTGTGAGGGCCTCAGACAGTGTTGTGAGGGCCGCAGACAGTGTTGTGATGGCCTCAGACAATATGTGAGGACCTCAGACAGTGTTGTGAGTGGCCTGTTAAGGCCCTACTGGGACGCAACCGGGTTCTTCTCTGATGTTGGTAGAGTTTGGGAATCCGGCCCCAAGTTAGTAGAGGCTTTCAAGGGGTGTGTGTTCCGTAACGCAAGTTAAATTAAAGGGGGAGGGATACAAATGTTCCAATTTATATATATATTCACCACCACCATAAATAAATATATAACAGTCACATGCGGGGGTTATAACTACACTTATTATGTACAAATTCGTCTTCCTCTGAAGACTCTGGATGCTCCACGGTGCTCTCTCTCTGGGTAGCCCTGGTTCCTTCTTCCGTGGCCCACGATGAATCCACTTATGATTCTATCACGAATCTACCCTGGCCACAGGCCAGCCAAATCACAGTCCCACTGGGTGCTTCGTCGTGGAGGCCTTCAACCACAATCCAGCCTGTAGCTGGCAGGTACTGATCAGGTCCGCTGTGTAGGCCACTCCACGACCGATACTAGGGTTGCGAGCCCTAGGCAGGAGCCTCGTGTGATCCCGTTGATCACTCTCCTCACTAAGCACCACAGTGCCTAGTCTCTTCCACCAGCCAGCCCCGGATAAGGCGATTCCTGACACTGCCACGCCACAGGCAGGCTAATACTCTCAACAGAGTTCGTCCGGGGGTGACTCACAGCTTCTTCAAAACAGACTGGTGAAGAGACCTTGGCTGCCTTGGGTAAACTGGTCCATCGTCCAATACAGCAGTCCCAGGCCGACTCTGCAATCAGACACGTCATTAATACTGGGACGCTCTAGGGCATCTCACTTACAGGCTTAGACACAAACGTCCACCTCTTCATTCCATAGATGGCGTTGCTGTCTAAGCGCCACCTCACCAGAGGTCAGCAGCGGGCTGTTATGTTACGAGCTGATTAAGACGGGAATCCAGCACCTGTGGCCGGTATATCCCGTCCTCACTAGATGGCGTTGTCCATTTGGAGGGGGTTTCGGGACCGGACTCACAGATGGCGTTGTCGTCACTGCTCCGTGCTCCGACGCTGGACTCGGGTCCGTAACATGGCCTCAGACAAGAAAATATAGGTTGTTCATTAAAAGTCTTTGAGCTTCTCTCTGCAAGCGAATATTTTCCTCTACCAACAAGGTGCGCTTTCCGTAGTTGAATTAATAATATGAAATGGGCTACGAGTTGCGTAGCTCTAACATATAAATATAGCTCTAGTCATAATCTAATAAAATTAATGGTTTTCTTATTCCATATCTGAATCCTAATTTTTATGAGTTGCCTTCTAATGCAACTCATAAGGCGTTTTGAGCTCCTGAAGGATCTGTCGCTCAGCAATGATGCACAAGCATTTTCTTTTGAAGTATTTTTCAATGCTGGAATACAAAACCTGTCGCTCCAGGGTCTTGCTTTACCCTAATGAGTTTACTTTTTTCAGCATCT